ATGGGAGAACATCGGTTTTACACTCATCCTATGGATGATAAACTTTGAGTTAGTGGGTGCTCTTTAGCAAGTAGCATCAGGGTTAAAAGGAGCTCAGGTAGGGTAGTGGATTACAAGATGGGCTGCTAAATGCAAGGTCAGCAGTTCGAATCTACCAACTGCTCAGTGGGAGAAAGATGAGACTTTCTGCTCCTGTAAGATTCACAGCCTCAGAAACCTAAGCAGGGTCACTGAGTTGGAACCGACTCCACAGCACATAACCACCACCGCTACCTTCAGGGTTAAAGGTTATTCTGATCTTCTTGCCTTTTCTATCTGACCTACCAAAAAAGAATCTTGTCATGACTTATTCTAAGACCCTGCTTGCTTTATTTTTCCCCTCCTTCAGTCCTCTTTCTGTTTGGGTAATTCTGTTTTGCATTAAAAAAAAAAAAAAAAAGTTAAGCAATGATCTTCAGGGAATACTTTTCTATTTCTGGAGCTGAACCCACAGGGCTCAGCATCATGTTTCCTGAATCCAAACTTGAAACTCATGGTCTGAGCAAAGTTTAGTTTTGTCGCATTTCTGGGGCCAGATGAAGTCAGTGGTTTGTAGGTTAGACAGTAAGATGCTGAGATCACAGGATTATTTCACTGGATTGTGAGAATGTGGGGACAATTCTTGATATCAGAATTATTGTAAAAGGAGGAAAAGGCATGTCTTGGTTCTTGAATTTTAAGAGCAATCTATAGTTTACATCATAGGAGCAAAGTGGCCAGCAAATCATTCAAAGTCCACTTGATTTTGTTAAACAAAATCATGTGGGTCCTACAGGTCCAATCCTACAGGCAGATTCAAAACAAAAGGTGTTTCTTCTTCCCCTCTCTCATATCACGCAGGAATGACACCTTTCTGTAGGCATTCCATGTCTATGGTATTGCTTCCATATTCCACAGGGCACACTAGCCCATCAGTAACAATTGGGATCCCTTCACAAATAGCTTCTCTGCAAAACATTTTTTCTGACAATAACAGAATATCATCTCAATACGTTCCTCCACATCCAATTAGCCCTTTAAAATGCCATGTTTGAGATGTATTTCTCCTGCATCAAATTTTCTTGTCTCTGCCCTGTACACATTTTAGCAGAAAATAGGGAAAATGTTTTCCGTGCATAGCTTTTACCCTTTCTCCCAGCCCCTCTGTTCCTCCTTCTTTGGAAACAAAACAAAACAAAACAAAAATATACCACTACCACCAGATGTTTGGGAAAGTAGAATCCATGTTCTTGCTAAGGCAAGATGCCAAGACAAGATTTGAACCAAACTAAGGCGATGCCCCTGATAGCTGTTGATGGGGAAGGTGGCAAGGAAAGCTGGTCAGCACTCACCCCTTGCCCTGTCCAGTTATATCTCACCCTCCTCCTCTTTCCCTGTGTATGTGAGGATCAGATTCTAGAATGGAGCGGGGGAGATGGCCAATTTGGAGAGGGTGTCCAAGGAAGACATGGTTAAGGAAGCACCTTTGAGCTAGGACCTGGGAAAAAAGCAGAGGGAAGAGCAAGTGCAAAATCCCTAAGGCAAGAGTGAAAGGAGACCACTGTGGCTAAGCCAAGGGGTACCTAGTGAATAGCAATAGGATGGAGTGGGTTCCTGTAGGACTTGGTATGGAGTTTAAGCTAAAAACAGTAAGAAACTACAGGTTGGCTTTAAGCTGAGGAATGCCTTTACTGTATCAAAGAAGGGAATGAATTCATTTAATAAATATTAATTGGGCTCAACTAAGTGGCAGGCCCATCACTGGTCTGTCAGTTTGTTGTACTGTGGTGGCTTGTGTGTTGCTGTGATGATGTAAGTTATGCCATCAATATTTTAAATACCAGTAGGATCACCCATGGTGGAGATTCTTGACTAAGACAGACTAAGAAGAAGAAGAAATTGACCACGTTTGAAAGGTTAGCCACTGAAAAACCTTATGAACAGTTGCATAACATTGTCAGATATAGTGCTGGAAGATGAGCCCCTCAGGTTGGAAGACATTCAAAATACAATTGAGGAAGAACTATCTCTTTCAAAGAAGAGATAACCTTAATGATGTGAATGGAGCAAAACTTTTGGAATCTTCATTTGCTGATGGGGCGCAACTCAAAATAAGAAGAAACAGCTACACGCATCCATTGGTAACTGGAAAGTGGAATGTACAAAGTATGAATCTTGGAAAACTGGAAGTTGTCAGAAATGAAATGAAATGGAAAAAAAAAAAAATATCCTAGGCACAAGTGAGCTGAAATGGACTAGTATTGAGCATTCTGAATTGGATAATCATATGATTTACTATGCCAGGAATGAAAACTGAAGAGGAATGGTATCACATTTATCATCAAAAAGAGCATCTATCTTAAAGTACAATGCTGTCTATGGCAGGATAACATTCATACTCTTATAAGAAAGACCAGTTAATACCACTATTATTCCCATTTATGCACCAATCACTAAAATCAATGATGAAGAAACTGGATTAACTTTACCAATTTCTTCAGTGACTGCAGTTGCAAACATGCAATCAAGATGCACTGATAATTATTGGTGGTTGGAATGCAAAAGTTGGAAACAAAGAGGATGGATCAGTTGCTAGAAAGCATGATCTTAGTAACAGAAAAGATAATGGAGATAACATGATAGAACTTTGCAAGACCAATGACTTCATAATTGCAAATATCTTTTTTCAACAGCACAAATGGTAACTATACACATGGACTTCACTGGATGGAATACACAGGAGTCAAACTGATTACATCTGTGGGAAGAAACACTGGAGAAGCTCAATATGATCAGCCAAAACAAGACGAGGGTCCAACTGTGGAACTGATCATCAATAGCTCTCATGCAAGTTC